AGGGGGGGGAGGCGCCGCTGGGCGGCGGTGGCAGCCGTACCTGCACGGGGCGGGTGGGGGGGCGGCTGTCTGAGCGGGGATGAGCCCTCCCCTCCTCCGCGGGGCCCCTTGCGCTGGCTGCAGCGACACATCAAAGGGGTGTGGAGCAGCTCCCTGCTTCTCTCTTCCCTGCTCTTCCCCCCTTTCCTCTTCTCTCCTCTGTCTTCACCCCTTCCCTGCTTTACTTCTCCTCCTCCCCATTTCTTCTATACTTGTTTAAACACATCCACTAACCCCCTTTTTCTTGCATGACCCTTTACTGAGTCTTTCTTCCTTTAAAACCATTTCATCTTAACAGCTTGGCTTTTTTTTTTTCCTTCTGACTTTTCTGGGTTTTTTTCTTTCTTTCTTTTGGTAGATTTAGAAGCCTTATCACTTGGAACAAAGAGAAGGGCTGCAAATAAAGAACAAAAAATGCCTGGTAATCTAGACAGTATCTTTCCAGCACTTTTCTGACACGTTTTGTGCATCTGAGGGAGACTAACCAGTCTCTTCTGATGGCAGGCAGACTGCCTGGATCCTGTACATCTCTCCCAGACTCAGCAGTGTTCAGCTGTGTCCCTTAGCTGGAAGAACCACTTCGTTGTCCTTTCAGCAGATCAGCGAAAATAGAACAAGATTCTCTTCATCACTCTATTGGCCCATCCAGCCTTGGAGGGATCTGCCAAAAAAGCAGAGTTTCCAAAAAGTGCCAAAGCCATCCTCTCTGATGACCTCCCCAAACCTTTGGCTGCCCAAGAAGGCAATGTGATTTAATCTGCAGGCGATCTCTGTACTGGATCCCCAGCAATGTCTGTGCTGCTGGCAGTATGGCTGGCTCAGCGTCTCCTGCGGGGAATTTGTAGCCCCCAGCCGCTGGCATCTTCTCCTGGCAGAAGCTCAGCCATTTGAAGAGAAGGGGAGGGGAAAAAAATCCCGGTCAGGATGTTTGCACACGCTGTCCCCTACCTCCTCGCCTGGGTGCTTTGCTGAAGGATTGGGAGGCACGCACGAAGGCAGGGAGGCAGGCAGCTGCTCCAGCCGGCCCCGGCTGGGGCTGGAGTTGCCCCAGTGCTGCGGAGGGTGAGCGTGTGGGACG